TGAAGGACTGAAATCCTGCAGCGCCCGCAAGGTCCCCCTGCTCAAGAAAGCACATATACAGTCCCGTCTGAAGTTTGCCAATGAACATCTGAATGATTCAGAGGAGAACTGGGTGAAAGTGTTGTGGTCAGATGAGACCAAAATCGAGCTCTTTGACATCAACTCAACTCGCCGTTTTTGGAGGAAGAGGAATGCTGCCTATGACCCCAAGAACACCATCCCCACCGTCAAACATGGAGGTGGAAACATTATGCTTTGGGGGTGTTTTTCTGCTAAGGGGACAGGACAAATCTTGGGTGAGAACCTCCTTCCCTCAGCCAGGGCATTGAAAATGGGTCATGAATGGGTATTCCAGCATGACAATGACCCAAAACACATGGCCAAGGCAACAAAGGAGTGGCTCAAGAAGAAGCACATTAAGGTCCTGGAGTGGCCTAGCCAGTCTCCAGACCTTAATCCCATAGAAAATCTGTGGAGGGAGCTGAAGGTTCGAGTTGCCAAACGTCAGCCTCGAAACCTTAATGACTTGGAGAAGATCTGCAAAGAGGAGTGGGACAAAATCCCTCCTGAGATGTGTGCAAACCTGGTGGCCAACTACAAGAAACGTCTGACCTCTGTGATTGCCAACAAGGGTTTTGCCACCAAGTACTAAGTAATGTTTTGCAGAGGGGTCAAATACTTATTTCCCTCATTAAAATGCAAATCAATTTATAACATTTTTTACATGCATTTTTCTGGATTTATTTGTTGTTATTCTTTCTCTCACTGTTCAAATAAACCTACCATTAAAATCATAGACTGATCATTGTCACGTTCGTTCAATGACGGGACAGACCAAGGCGCAGCGTGATATACGTACATGTTTATTCAACTAAATAAACACACGACAAAAACAATAAACGAAACGAAACGTGAAGTCCTAAGGTAGATACAACAAACCTTAACCGGAACAAGATCCCACAACTCAATAGTGCCAATAGGCTGCCTAAGTATGGTCCCCAATCAGAGACAACGAGCGACAGCTGCCTCTGATTGGGAACCACACTGGCCAACATAGATCCACACATACTAGAATATACAACATAGAACATACACAACAAAGAATATACACACCCTGACTCCCTGTTGCGCCCCTGGTCTGGTCTGGACCTCGGCGTGCTACTTCCCCTCTCCTTCCTCCCACGATACGCCAGGCCCTGTCTGGACCCTGGTGTGGGAGACCCCGAATCCGCCTCGGGGCTGACGTCATGGTCTGGACTGGAGCCGCTGACCAGAGCTGGACTGGGCACCGGTGGAACGGACTGCTCTGGCTCCGGAGTGGAGCCGCTGACCGGAGCTGGATCAGGCACCGGTGGAGCGGACTGCTCTGGCTCCGGAGTGGAGCCGCTGACCGGAGCTGGACTGGACCCCGGTGGAGCGGACTGCTCTGGCTCCAGAGTGGCGCAGCTGACCGGAGCTGGATCAGGCACCGTTGGAGCGGACTGCTCTGGCTCCGGAGTGGAGCAGCTGACCGGAGCTGGATCAGGCACCGGTGGAGCGGACTGCTCTGGCTCCGGAGTGGAACAGCTGACCGGCACTGGATCAGGCACCGGTGGAGCGGACTGCTCTGGCTCCGGAGTGGAGCAGCTGACCGGTGCCGGACCAGGCACCGGTGGAACGGGCACGGGCCGTGCCGGACTGGACAAACGCACCACTGGTCTGGTGCGAGGAGCAGGCACGGGCCGGACCGGACTAGGAACACGCACCACAGGCTTGGTGCGAGGAACAGGAACGGGCCGGGCCGGACTGGCGACGCGCACCACTGGCTTGGTGCGAGGAGCAGGAACAGGCCGGGCCGGGCTAGCGACGCGCACCACTGACTTGGTGGCGAGGAGAAGGAACAGGCCGGGCCGGACTGGCGACGCGCACCACTGGCTTGGTGCGAGGAGCAGGAACAGGCCGGGCCGGGCTGGCGACGCGCACCACTGGCTTTGTGCGAGGAGCAGGTACAGGCCGGGCCGGGCTGGCGACGCGCACCATTGGCTTGGTGCGAGGAGCAGGAACAAGCCAGGCCGGGCCGGGCTGGCGACGCGCACCACTGGCTTGGTGCGAGGAGCAGGAACAGGCCGGGCCGGACTGTGGAGGCGGACTGGAGGCCTAGAGCGGAGAGCTGGCACAACCCGTCCTGGCTGGCTGCCCACTTTCGCACTACACGTGCGGGGTGCTGGCACAGGACGCACTGGGCTGTGCACGCGCACTGGCGATACAGTTCGTAGAACTGGCGCAGGATATGCGGGACCGAGGAGGCGTACTGGAGACCAGGAGCGTTGAGCCGGCACACCCCGTCCTGGCTGGATGCCCATCTTCGCACGGCACGTGCGTGGTGCAAGCACAGGACATACAGGACTGTGCCGGCGCACTGACGACACAGTACGTAGCTCCGCATAACACGGAGCTTGCCCAGTCATACGCCTCTTCGCGTGAGTACGGGGAGTTGGCTCTGCTCTAACCCTAGGCTCCGCCAACCACCCCGTGTGCCCCCCCAAATTGTTTTATTGGGGCTGCTTCTCCGGCTTCCTCCTCGACCCGCCTCCTCCGTGTTGCCGTTGCTTCTCTCCTGCCTGGGCATCTAACTTAGCCCATGGTCCTTTCCCCGCAAATATCTCTTCCCATGACCACAAATCGGCCACCTGTGACATGGCCATCCGCTCCGCCTGGGCACGCTGCTTGGTCCTCGTTTGGTGGGATCTTTTGTCACTTTCGTTGAATGACGGGTCAGACCAAGGTGCAGCGTGATATACGTACATGTTTATTAAACCAAATAAACACAACGACAAAACAACAAACTAAACGAAACGTGAAGTCCAAGGTAGCACACACAACATACCTTACACGGAACAAGATCCCACAACTCAATAGTGCCAATAGGCTGCCTAAGTATGGTCCCCAATCAGAGACAACGAGCGACAGCTGCCTCTGATTGGGAACCACACCGGCCAACATAGATCCACACATACTAGAATATACAACATAGAACATACACAACAAAGAATATACACACCCTGACTCAACATATAAGAGTCCCCTGAGTCAGGGCGTGACAATCATGTCTTTGTCAGTGGGCAAACGTACAAAATCAGCAGGGGATAAAATACTTTTTTCCCTCACTGTATATTTGAGTTATTACATTTTTATAAATGTTGTAACATTTTTCTTTTCACTTTGACATTATGTAGTATTTTGTGTAGATCCCAAAAAAAATCACAACTAAATCCATTTCAATCCCACTTTCTCATGCAACAAAATGTGAAGAAGTCCGAGGGGGTTGAATAATTATGATACCCACTGGATTGATACAGTTGAAGTCGGAAGTTTACATACACTTAGGTTGGAGTCATTAAAACTCGTTTTTCAACCACTCCAGAAATGTCTTGTTAACAAACTATAGTTTTGGCAAGTCGGTTAGGACATCTACTTTGTGCATGACACAAGTAATTTTTACAACAATTGTTTACAGACAGATTATTTCACTTATAATTCACTGTATCACAATTCCAGTGGGTCAGAAGTTTACATACACTAAGTTGACTGTGCCGTTAAACAGCTTGGAAAATTCCAGAAAATGATGTCATGGCTTTAGAAGCTTCTGATAGGCTAATTGACATAATTTCAGTCAATTGGAGGTGTACCTGTGGATGTATTTCAAGGCCTACCTTCAAACTCAGTGCCTCTTTGCTTGACATCATGGGAAAATCAAAAGAAATCAGCCAAGACCTCAGAAAAAACATTGTAGACCTCCACAAGTCTGGTTCATCCTTGGGAGCAATTTCCAAACACCTGAAGGTACCACTTTCATCTGTACAAACAATAGTACGCAAGTATAAACACCATGGGACCCCGCAGCCGTCATACCGCTCAAGAAGGAGACGTGTTCTGTCTCCTAGAGATGAACGTACTTTGGTGCGAAACGTGCAAATCAATCCCAGAACAACAGCAAAGGACCTTGTGAAGATGCTGGAGGAAACAGGTACAAAAGTATCTATATCCACAGTAAAACGAGTCCTAAATCGACATAACCTGAAAGGCCCCTCAGCAAGGAAGAAGCCACTGCTCCTAAACCGCCATAAGAAAGCCAGACTACGATTTGCAACTGCACATGGGGACAAAGATTCTACTTTTTGGAGAAATGTCCTCTGGTCTGATGAAACAAAAATAGAACCATAATGACCATCGTTATGTTTGGAGGAAAAAGGGGGTTGCTTGCAAGCCGAAGAACACCATCCCAACCGTGAAGCACGGGGGTGGCAGCATCATGCTGTGGGGGTGCTTTGCTGCAGGAGGGACTGGTGCACTTCACAAAATAGATGGCATCATGAGGAAGGAAAATTATGTGGATATATTGAAGCAACATCTCAAGACATCAGTCAGGAAGTTAAAGCTTGGTCGCAAATGGGTCTTCCAAATGGACAATGACCCCAAGCATACTTCCAAAGTTGTGGCAAAATGGCTTAAGGACAACAAAGTCAAGGTATTGAAGTGGCCATCTCAAAACCTTGACCTCAATCCTATAGAAAATGTGTGGGCAGAAATGAAAAAGCGTGTGCGAGCAAGGAGGCCTACAAACCTGACTCAGTTACACCAGCTCTGTCAGGAGGAATGGGCCAAAATTCACCCAACCTATTGTGGGAAGCTTGTGGAAGGCTACCCGAAACGTTTGACCCAAGTTAAACAATTTAAAGGCAATGCTACCAAATACTAATTGAGTGTATGTAAACGTCTTACCCACTGGGAATGTGATGAAATAAATAAAAGCTGAAATAAATAATTCTCTCTACTATTATTCTGACATTTCATATTCTTAAAATAAAGTGGTGATCCTAACTGACCTAAGACAGGGAATTTTTACTAGGATCAAATGTCAGGAATTGTGAAAAACTGAGTTTAAATGTATTTGGCTAAGGTGTATGTAAACTTCTGACTTCAACTGTATTAATAATCTGTGATTGATGTTCCTATGTTCTTCTGTCCTGTCCAGCAAAAGTCCCTGAGGGAAAGATGGCTGCTGGATGGAGCTGCTGGCTCGGAGCAGGACGAGGCCAAGAAACAGCTGGCGGAGGACGAGGCCAAGCTCAAGGGGATGGAAGAGAACATAATTAGGTATGTCTACAACCCTGGAACACTGGTGTACCTACCAGTGGCGGTCGGTGATGTTTTTTTTATGAGCAGGGCCTTATTTCTATTACAGCATATTGGATGACTGTCATTCATATTCCTTTCACCAAGCTCAACGTAACATCGATAGGTTTAGGCTACTACATGATGCTCAAATTTTCCCTGTACCCATCATGATGTTGCTACAACCTAGCAGTTTACAACATAGGTGCACAGGTCGAGATAATTTTTAGTAATCAAGGTGACAGACAGTGACACATTCAATACCGCCTTGCACACTCTTGTCTGCATTTAGCTGATCTAGGCTGTAAAAATTAGTCCAACAATTATAAATGAGAGTTTCCATTGGACAAATTCAGGTATGTTTATCCCTGTTTCATTCCGTAGTCAAAGTCAACATAACTAATAGAACTAACGCGTTAGTAAACCCGCTACAAACATTCAGTACAGTGTACAGTCAGAAAGCAGTTTAGCAGTTACACCGGCGGGCCTCAGTGGCAATAAATTAATAAAACCTTGACTTGGAAGGGAATCCAGTGTTGGATAGCCATAGCCAGCTACCTAACATAGCATCCCTCTCTGTTTGAGCCAGGTGTTTAAGTAGGCTAAACTAGCTAGCTGCATTCGCTAGCTAAGTGAAAGTGAAAGTTTAAAACAAATACAACCAAATATAGCTAGCTCTCTCTGTTCAACTATTGTCTTTCTCGCTCTTTGAGTCAACTACTCACAACATTTTATGCACTGCAGTGCTAGCTAGCTGTACCTTATGCTTTCAGTACTAGATTCAATCTCTAATCCTTTGATTGGGTGGACAACAGTGGTGGTCAGTGCCGTTTAAGATGAGGGAGGACAATTTTTTTTTCATGAGCATGGCCTTATTTCTATTACAGCATATTGGATGACTCATTCATATTCAATTCACCCAGTTCAATGTAACAGCGATAGGTTTAGGCAACTACATGATACTCAAATTGTCCCTATACCCATTATGAGGTTGCTACAACCTATGAATTAAAGTTTACAACGTAGGTGCACACAGGTCGACATGCAATATCGCCCTGCACACTCTTGCCTGCGTCTAGCTGATATAGGGTGTAATCATTAGTCCAACAGTTGCAAACAAGAGTTTCTATTGGACAAATTCAGGTATGTTTATCCTCGTTTTGTTCCGTTTGCTTCTGTTTAAGAAACATTTTTAATAGCACCCACGTTGTATTCCTTCTCGCATCTACAGTATGCGCTCTCTTCCTCTCACCTCTTCCCTTCGATTGTGGACTTCAATGCACAACACATCAGCTGTATGTGACCAGGCAAAAAAACCTTTCCAAGCCATACCGCTACACACAGCCTACATCATTGTCACCATATTAGCTAAAGTAACATCATAGTCAGCATAGCTAATAGAACTAATGCGTTAATAAACCCGCTACAATCATACAGTAACGTTACAGTGTACAGTCAGTAAGCAGTTACACCGGCTGGCCCCAGTGGTAATAAATGAGTAAAACCAAAAGCTTACCTTGACTTGGTAAGAGTTCCAGTCTTGTGTTGGAAAGTCATAGCCAGCTAGCTAACATAGCATCCCTCTGTTTGAGAAGGGTGTTTCAGTAGGCTAAACTAGCTAGCTGCATTTGCTAGCTAAGTAAGTGAAAGTGAAAGTGAAAAAGAATGAGGAAATCTCTCTCTATTTTTCTCTTGCTTCTCCTTCATTTTGGAAGAAATTATTTTGTTCAAAACTGTTAAACTATTGTCTTTCTCTCTCTTTGAGTCAACTACTCACCACATTTTATGCACTGCAGTGCTAGCTAGCTGTAGTTGATGCTTTCAGTACTAGATTAATTCTCAGATCCTTTGATTGGGTTGACAAAATATCAGTTCAGGCTGCAAGAGCTCTGATAGGTTGGAGGACGTCCTCTGTAAGTTGTCATAATTACTGTGCATGTCTATGGAAGGGGATGAGAACCATGAGCCTCCTAGATTTTGTATTGAAGTCAATGTACCCAGAGGAGGACAGAAGCTAGCTACACCATGGTGCTACCCTACAGAGTGCTGCTGAGGCTACTGTAGACCATTGCAAAATAGTGAGTTTTAATCAATTAAATGGTGAAGTTAATGAATCTATTTAGTATAGGATTATCTAAAAAGGATACTTTTTTAAATGTTTCACTTTTTTTTTTAAAGAAGAAATTTACTGATTAGGATTGTCCTCCCCTTCCTCCTCTGAGGAGCCTCCACTGGTACCTACTTCCTATACATGTTTCTAGATTCATTGTATGTCTTTATTTAACCAGTCTTTAACCAGGCAAAACGTGCTCTTAACTTATAAAAACGGATAAGATCTTGATATCCTATTCTCTCTATATAATTTTGCCATGCCCGCTCACTGGCAATGTGGCCCAGCACATTTGCTATCGGTGAGATCATTTGTAATACTTCTTAGGAAATGTTTAATAAGTTGAACTCTTAGCTCGAAAGGAGTACAGATATAGGATCCTAATTTGATCACTATCTTGTTGCTGAGAATTTTCCTGCACAGCAGGAAATGCAAACTTGTAGTGTATTAAGTTTAAAAAGTATTCTAAAGTTTGTAATTTCCACTTTAAAATGTCAGACTTGATTTGCCCTACCGAAAAATGTATCTACCCCTACAAAAAATGTCCATTAGTTATAATCAACATAATATTCACATTTCCTGTTGCTGCAGGATTATTTTCCTGCTGTAGCAAACTGGCTCAAATTAAGAGCCTACATCTCTATAGGCCTATCAGATAATAATAAGTGTCCTATTTCACACATGTACAAGTGTGTATTAATATTGGAAATGTGTTTTTAGTATATCCCCTCTCCCTGAGACACCCTCAGAGAGCGGGGTCACAGCAAGGGTCTGTCATTCAACGGCAACCCTGGAGCAATTAGGGTTAAGGGCCTTTCTCAAGGCCACGTCGACAGATTTTTCACCTTGTCGGCTCGGGTACAGAAAGGAGACCCAGTAGCCAAGAACAGACCACCCCTCCCTCCTCGCTCCAACCATTTTCTTTCTCACTCATAGCAAAACAGTGGTATCAATCTTCTTCCCCTGGCAATCCAATTCGCTAATAAAATTTCCTGGCTGCTGCAGTGCTGGCTGGCTGTTGGGGCTCAGACTTGGGCAACATTGGCACTAGACTGTCACACCACCCAATGAGCAACGCAAGCGAACAATTGCCGGAGCTAGGGAAAAGGCGGAATTGGAGAAAGATAAGGAGAAGCTTTTGTCCATATCCCAAATAGGTGCTTAATTCTGTTAGATAGGCCATAGTGAGGAAGGACAGTGAGGTTGTTTTGGTATTTAACAAAATGAGGACACTTAAAGAGATAGTTCACAGTTAAAGGGGGGGAGGTTGCTGTTTTTCTTTGATTTGGTAACTTTTCCTTCTGCACTCAGCTCATTTATTTTAGATGAAAAATACCAGTGTATCAGTTGTCTGTAATCACTTTTCCAGTGAGTGAGCACTGTGGTGGGTGTGTATGGGCTATTTTCTATTGTGTGCGTAGTTGCCAAAAATAACAAACATTTTAAATAGACAAGACAGAAATCCAAATCTGCTTTGGAATACCATGATGTGCATGACGTGCATTCTCACACTGTTTGTGTGTGTCACTGACCATGTCTGTGTGTGACTGATCACATCTCTCTCTGTTCTGCAGAATGGAGCAGGAACTGGAGGAGCTGGAGACAGGCGTGTCGGCGACCTCCACCAAAGAGAGCCTGACAGACGCAGCCATGAAGGAGGAAGCCAAGACAGCAGACAACAAAGTGAGTCTCCCTCCCCTCCTACCCCTCCGAGGGCAGCTGGACACAGCAGGTCCACCGGACACACACACACACACACACACACACACACACACACACACACACACACACACACACACACACACACACACACACACACACACACACACACACACACACACACACACACACACACACACACACACTGTTAGATACAGGAGTGGGGAGTGTGTTTTTATGCATGTGTGTGTATGTGTGTGCCTATGTGTGTGTGTGTGTGTGTGTTGGGGGGGAACGTTTGAAGTAGGGGAGTAGGAGATGGAGGAATCAGAAGGGAGGGGGAGGTTTAGGAGCCTGACACAAGCCTTGGGGCACATCTGAAAGCAAAAAAGCCCTGTGTACAGTAACTGCCCTTGTGATAAACTGACAGTGACATCTCCACTTGAGCAAATGACATCTCAATATTGTGCCATCAGTAATATCATTAGTGACAGTCCGGATAGGCCTGGAGAGTCAGACACTGGGTGCAGTGTATAGGGAACAGTTGTTGACGGGAGGGAGGCTCTTGCCCAAAGGGGAAGTCCATATTGACAGCACACACTGGGCAGCTTTTAACATGGGGGTTTCATGGCAACTGCTAGAAAAGATGCTCTGTCTCTTCGTTTTTCCCTCTTGAACTCGTTGACCCTTTTTGCGCTTTCCTCCAGAAGTCAATATCCACTTCCTCTATCCATCCTGGCACCGCTTTATTAAAAGGGAAAGTGCTTATTTAATGTGGCGTCTGTTTCTACCTCAATCGTTTTTCTTGCTTCCTTGTCGGCCATGTTTTTTGTGGCATACCTCAGTGGGAAATACTGTATGTTCCTTCGCTCAAACTAGGTTTTCAATTAAATATGTTAAATACTGTATGTGACATAATGTTCATTCATTATGTAGCGTTGCTTTTGAATAAGAGTGTCCCTTCAAGAAACAAATCTATTACCTCATAGCTGTGGGTTGTCAGTAGAACTGCTTCACTCAATCGGTGATAGCTTTTTTAGAAATTGATGTTATTCGACTGTGCGGCTGCATTGACACAATAATCCCGATGATTCATATTGCAGAAATAAACCCACCTTCTATACGTGTGTGGTGGTAATGTATTCGATGGGTTAGACACTGGATTTTCTGAGTTTAATGCGGTATGATACATGGGTTAAAATACTGTTTTCTCTCCCTCTCTCACAGGCTCTGGCAGGCACTGTGCAAGGTAATACATCTTCAGCCAGATCTTCTTCCTCATCTGTCTCCTCTTTCTCCTCTTTTACATGTCTTCTGTGTTTGTCGCTCTTTCTCTCTCCCTCCCGCTCTCTTTCTCACCCCACTTCCTTGACCGCTTATAGAGGTCAAGGAAGTTATAGAGGTCAAGGAAGTAGTGAAAGTGCACAACACCCCTCATCTGGAAAGGTCTGGAGGTGCCTCAGATAGGATGAGAGCAGGTGAGTCTCGGTACCCTGTAGCTCACAGACTGAGACACACTGTAGAGAGACATCTTATTTTTTCACTCTATATTCACTTTAGATTCTAATGTCATGCTAACCATATTAAAGTGATGTTATTCCACTCATTGTAAAACAAACATAGATATTCAATGTACCCACTCCTGTTTCATTCAGGAATATTTTAATTGATTGATAGGCAATTGATACATTATTGACTGATTATAATGAATCATGTAAGTTGCATCTGTACAATCAGACATGCAATAGAGTCCAAGTTTGTCCAAAATGGAAGATGTCTCAATAAGATTCTATTGGAGTCGTCTATCTCTATCTGTCTTTGCCCAAACCTGGCCACCTCCTCTGTGTTTGTCTCTTTCTCTCTCCTTCTCCCTCTCTCTTTCTCTATCTCCCTCTCTCTTTCTCACCCCACTTCCTTGACTGCTTGTAGAGGTCAAGGAAGTGCTCAAAGTGCACAACAGCCCTCGTCTGGACATGTCCGGAGGTGCCTCAGATATGATGAGAGCAGGTGAGTCTCGGTACCCTGTAAGCTCACAGACTGAGACACACTGTAGAGAGACATCTTAGACAAATTCTGCTCTTTCCCTCTTTTTTTATTTTCCACTCATGAACTCTGTATCTGCTTGCCTCTTTACATAGACGGCTGAATACTATATCTGATGTTAGTTTATTTTATATAATTTACTTACTTGTATCATTTTTCAAATAAATAGCACTTGGTTATTCATTAATCAGTCATTAACAAATATTCAATAGGTATTTATAGGTATTACAGTATAAGAAATCTAATATTAACCCCTAACCAAAAATCTTAATTTTGTTGTATCCTGTTTACCCATTCTGGCATCGGCTACTGGCATTAGCTGTGATGCGTGATTTGAAGGAGTCAGGCGCAGGAGGGTAAATCACAGTATACAGAGTTTATTCTGTAATCCAGCGTAACCAGTCCAGTGCGCAAAACAGACGCACTTGAACAAACATGCACACGGGGAAAAATACCCCGGCAATACAAAATACAGCTACTAATCCTCACAAAGAACAATCACCCACAAGGACAAGGGGGCAGAGGGAACACTTAAACACGTACTAATGAGGGGAATATGAACCAGGTGTGTGTAATTGACAAGACAAGACAAATGGAATGATGAGATATGGAGCGGCAGTGGCTAGTAAGCCGGTGACGACGAACGCCGAAGCCTGCCCGAACAAGGAGGGGAGGCAGCATCGGAGGAAGTCGTGACAGTAGCATCCTGGGTAACTGGATTAGGCATATAATAAATGTAAAATCTATAACGTCAATATCTAACTCCTCAGTGGAACTCATTATGTAAACACAACCAGTTTGAATGGCCCGGCAGTAGCCGAGCCATCGAATCTTAATTTTAATGGAGCTTTCATTGAATGACAGCTAAAGGATACCTATATTGTTGTCATATCAAATTTACAACACCTCAGTATAGCTCAGCATATTGTAAACACAAGCAGTTAGAAATGTCTGGGGACGACTTCATCTCCTCAGCAAAGGGTCTTTTCAGTAGTATCAAGGGGTCTCCACCTTCCTCCATCTCACATGTGGGCCTCTGTCCCCTTTAATCAAACATTTGCTTTCATCAGCCTCACAGCTCTAGAAGGATAGAGGGATTCCACTGAAGGGCTATTCTCCACAGTGAGTGAGATAGCGAGAGGGGAGAAGGAGAGGGGGCGAGTGACTAATTCGTTTTACCTCTTCAGCTCTGGTCCCCATACATCTTATCTAGAGGACCCTTGCTGAGCAGAGAGGCTACTTAATGTTTGGTTTCATAAAGACCTGCTATGATCAAATTCTCATTGCCAACGCTTTCCTGGATAAGATAGTTTTGGTAACATTTTGGTGTAATATGACCGTCAGATAGGAGCTAAATAACTAGAAACTAAGAAAGTAACACAGTATGGTTACTATACCCTGTGCATAAACAAATAATAGATATACAATAGATATCTAGTAGCTAGATTAGTTGATAGGGCACAATACAATAGAAAGGGACTTTTATATGGGGTATATATCTACCAGTTCCATGCTGTGTAATAGGATGTAGTGCAGTGCCTGTTTTACTGATGTGAGTGTACATTGGCGCACTATGTGAATGTGAATGCGTGGGTGGGAAGGTAAAACAATGTTCCCTGCACAGAGTCATGTGGGAGGAAATATTTTAATGACGGACCACTCGGGTATTTCACCATTGCTAAGTGCTGTACTTTCATGACACCTTTAGGAGAACACAAAAGCAATATAAATGCCATTGAACATGTCGCATTCTCTGAAGTGCTTTGGTATATTTCATGTACTCTATTTGTTGTCACTAACATTGTGTTGTGTTTCTGTACTGTATTTTTCCCCTAATATTTGTCTTCTGTCCTAATCTTCACAATTATCAACTGTCTGTCTGTGTGTTTGCTTATCTGTATGGGTATGTGTGTGTATGAGTTTGTGTGAGTCTGTCTGTCTGTCTGCGTATTGGTCTGTTCTTGTGGACGTTCACTCTTGTGGATATTCACTGTGGTTTGTGGCTAAAGGTATTAAAACAAGTAGAATGGTATGTTTGTATAGAGTTAGCCAGGATGGTATACTGAGTATCCAGTTCTCACAGTATATCTGTTGTGTGGGGATACCCTATATGTAGTCTTTATCAGACGATGCGATGTTGCCAAGGCAACACAGCTCCGCTAAAAAGTATAATTTCTCTATCCGTCAACATGGCAGCGTTAGACTCACATAGTGGAGGCCTACTGATGACAAATGTTCGAGTTTACCTTAGTTATAGTGTATGTAGCCAAATATTGTAGCCAAGTTATTGACCATTCTCCAAAGACATGCTTCGTTAACAACCATACAGTCATTTGACTTGCCCAGATAAGCAGTCAAATGAATGTCATGAATCATAGTTGACTGTCTTCTTCATAAGATAGAGTTTGCGTATAGTCATGTGTGATAGTTACATGGGCTGTAGCTAAGTGGTATATTTGTTGGTGGAATATGGTTGTTTAGAGTGGTTGTCTGGTTTTGGCTGGTGTTATTATACGTGTGTATTGTGGAGAGACTACATGGTTATTTATAATTATGAACTATGGTTGAGTGGAACTGGTATGTCTCTAGTCTTGTTGAGTGAGAGATAATATGGCGTGTGAAAGGGCCGAGTGGTGCGACAGAGAGAAAGAGAAAAAGTGAGAAAGTGAGAGAATTCCTGTGTTCCATGGATGTGTGGTATGACAGAGAGAGAGAGAGAGAGAGAGAGAGAGAGAGAGAGAGAGATATGACACCTCTGCAGGCCCCTAACGTCTCCTCTTGTTGACACCCCATGCACCCAGCAATGTACTCAGTAGAGATCACCGTTGAGAGGGACAATGTCACGGGCGAGACTAAGGTGTTGTCCACCAACACCCTACTGCCCATTAACCTCTCTAGGCAAGGGGTCAAGGTGTATGAGGATTACCAGAAAGGTGATTTCCCAACATGGTTTCAACAGCAAAACAAAACACTTGGCTAAAACATGCTTTATGAGAAGTGTTAACAGTTATGATAAGAGCTAAGATCTGTGTTATGGTTTTATTAACAAGAATACATTTACAGTGCCTTCAGAAAGTATTCACACCCATTTACCTTTTCCACATTTTGCTGTGTTACAGCCTGAATTTAAAATGGATTACAATGAGATTTTTTGTCACTGGCCTAAAAACAATACCCCATAATGTCATGTTTTTCGAAATTTGTACAAATTAATAGAAAATGAAAAGCTGAAATGTCAATAAGTATTCAACCCCTTTGTTATGGCAAGCCTAAATAGTTTCAGGAGTAAAAATATGCTTAACAAGTCACATAATAAGTTGCATAGACTCTGTGTGCAATAATAGTGTTTAACATGATTTCTGAATGACTACCTCATCTCTGGACCCCACACATGCAATTATCTGTAAGGTCCCTCAGTCGAGCAGTGAATTTCGAGCATGTTGAAGTTATTAATTACACTTTGGATGGTGTATCAATACACCCAGTCACTACAAGATACAGGCATCCTTCCTAACTCAGTTGCCAGAGAGGAAGGAAACCTCTCAGGGATTTCACCATGAGGCCAATGGTGACTTTAAAACAGTTACAGAGTTTAATGGCTGTTATAGGAGAAATCTGAGGATGGATCAACAACATTGTAGTTACTCCACAATACTAACCTAACTGACAGAGTGAAAAGAAGGAAGTCTGTACAGAATAAAAAATATTCCAAAACATGCAACAAGGCACTAAAAAAGTAATACTGCAAAAAATGTGGCAAAGCAATTAACTCTTTGTCCTGAATACAAAGTGTTGTGTTTGGAGCAAATCCAATACAACACATTACTGAGTACCACTCTCCATATTTTCAAGCATAGTGGTGGCTGCATCATGTTATAGGTCCCGTGTAGCTCAGTTGGAAGAGCATGGCGCTTGCAACGCCAGGGTTGTGGGTTCGATTCCCACGGGGGGCCAGTATGAAAATGTATGCACTCACTAACTGTAAGTCGCTCTGGATAAGATCGTCTGCTAAATGACTAAAATGTAAATAGGTATGCTTATAATCGTTAAGGACTGGGGAGTTTTTCACCTTTCAGCAGGACAATAACCTAAAACACAAGGCCAAATGTACACTGGAGTTGCTTACCAAGAAGACAGTGAATGTTCCTGAGTGGCCGAGTTACAGTTTTGTCTTAAATCTACTTGGAAATCTATGGCAAGACTTGAAAATGGTTGTCTAGCAATGATCAACAACCAATTTGACAGAGCTTGAAGAATTTTGAAAAGAATAATGAGTAAATGTATGAAAATGTATGTACTCACTAACTTTAAGTCGCTCTGGATACGAGCGTCTGCTAAATACCTAAAATGTAAATGTAAATGTAAATGTTGCACAATCCAGGTTTAGAAAGCTCTTAGTGACTTACCCAGAAAGAGTATTGACTCAGGGGTGTGAATACCTATGTAAATGAGATATTTCTGTATTTCATTTTTTATACATTTGCAAACATTTCTAAAAACACTTTGTCATTATTGGGTATTGTGTGTAAATGGATGAGAGAGAAAAATGAATGTAATCCATTTTGAATTCAGGCTGTAACACAACAAAGTGTGGAATAAGTCAAGGGGTACGAATAAGCCCCTATGAATGTTTGTCTATAGTAGAGCTGGGATGATAAATATAAAATTATTGATATCGATCAAACCAATAATTTAACAGACATTTTACTGATATCGATGCACACTATATACTTATTGTTCAATTTATAGTTATTGTGAAATTTCAGTCGATTTATCGGGATATGGATTTATGTCCATATCACCTAGCTCTAGTCTATAGGCTCTGACATGAGGTTGGAATGAAATATTTCCAGTGATTACAGTCCCCTGTAGTTCAGTTGGTAGAGCATGGCGCTTGCAACGCCAGGGTTGTGGGTTCGTTTCCCACGGGGGGCCAGTATGAAAATGTATGCACTCACTAACTGTAAGTCGCTCTGGATAAGAGCGTCTGCTAAATGACTAAAATGTAAATGTAAAATGTACGAATACTTTCGGAAGGCATTGTATAATAGTAATATTAAAAAAATGAATATATGATCTGAGATAAGTCTACCTAAAATTATAGTTATTACAGACATTGCTTGTCTGATCACAGCCATTGAAAGACATACATCTTGTAGTTCAATAAACTTGATAATGCATTTTCACTGGCCTATACAGATACTCTGTCTCATATAATGATTGGCTTGAATCCACTTATTGACTCTAGATATTATGACCTTGATATTACCACTTCTCGTAAAGTAAAAGGAATAGTTAAGCATAGCATGACACAGTGTTGCAGGGTGACCAATAAATCCAAACCAATAATTCTACTTCAATAGTTATATTTATGAATGTGAACTTGGGCTATTATGTATTGGCACAAAACACAGTCAGTACATTCAGAACTCATTTGAAATGGTCCCTTTGGTCTCCCTGTAGCACCTGTTTTAGTTCACCTGCTGGTATTGGGCATGGACCCTTCCATATACCCCACCCCGCTACAACCAATATATCCTATATAGCTCTACTCTCTCACCTCTTTTTATTGATTTTGCTCCCTGACACAGACAACAAGCACTGGGCTCGTGATGCAGCAGCTGTGGCATTCGCTTTTTTCCCCCCTGCTCTCTTTCAGCTGCTCTCCTCTCCTTGCACTCCTTGTCTGCTTTTCTCGCTCCCCTGCTTCCTTCCCTGTGATTTGACTGTGACTGGTCAGCTTCAGAGCACGTCACTGTTCCGTGAGTGGAGGTTTGTGGGAAAAAGGTATAGCGTTAAATAGCCTCCCTCTCCTTGTTTCTTGAGTATCTAACACGATTGGATAGGTGTAAGCCATTGGTCCATGACATGGCTTTGGTCAGTCCAGTCGTATCAGATCAGTGATGATTGCTTCAAGGAAGGATGCATTTTTTTTAAAATTTGAAAAGGACCTAGTTCTCCATGCTCTCATGAGGAATGCTCTGGGTGTCTTCTGTTAATGACACATCTGTCTCTCTCCTCTCTCTCCATCTCTCTCTCGCTGTCTCTTTCTCTCTCATAGTGGTACATGAGGTGAACGGGGAGAACGGGGTCCACCAGCTCAGTGCCAATGAGGTGGACGAGCTCATCCACAAAGCAGACGAGTCCATGATGAGCGACGCCACCACCGCCGGCGCCACCTCCACCGCCCCCGTCATCCCCACTGATGCTGAGTTAGCCACAGAGCAGCAGACGACACCACAGAAGGAGATCACTGGCATGGAGGCCAAGGCAGGCGGCGCCAGTCCCCAGCCAGGTGGAGGCGAGGTGGAGGCCAGTGCCGAGAACCCCGTCACCATGGTGTTCATGGGCTACCAAAGCGTTGAGGACGAGGCGGAAACCAACAAGGTGCTGGGGCTGGAGGGCACCGTCAAGGCCGAGCTGGTGGTCATCGAGGACGGCGAGGGCAAGAAAGTGACGGTGGGGCCCACCTCCGCCACTGTGACCGTCACCGAGGGAGGCACCAAGGAAGAGCAGTTGCCCCCGCCCAACGGCAGTGCCGCCGACCCTGTTAAGACCCCCCAGGAGAAGGCCCCAGCGGGGGAGAAGGGGAGGGAGCCAGAGGGGGGCGCCACTGAGCTCAACAACAAGGAGAAGCAGCCCTGCAAGTGCTGCACCATCATGTGAGCCACCGTTGTGTGGTCGCATTCCCCCCGGGACTTGACTTTTCAAGGAGAAATGACAAACCAACAACAACCATAACGTCAAGAAAACCAACAAAAACCCACCCCTTTCCCTTTTCCCCCCTCCTGACAAAAAAAAGGCATAAATGTTCTGTATCTTTTTGATAGCCGGCTGTTGTTTTCCAACTTCATTTTCATCTCCGTTTTATATATTTTATTTCATTTTTCTATCTCCTTTCATTCTTTTTACTTTTGTATTATTTTGGGTTTTGTTGTGACTTAAACGGATGCTGCCAAAGGTGAGCAATCCCTGCGTTTTCACACTGAGATTCACACTGAGATTCACACTGAGATTCACACTGAGATTCACACTGAGATTTCTGAGGGAGAGAGGAGATAGAAAAGGAAAGATAGAGGGAGAGAAAGACAGAGGAACGGGTTTGTTCACCCAGCATTGTCCAACAAGCATTTTTTTAATGACATCTCTTATACACCGTCATGAGTTTTGTAATCTTAACTTTCTGTATGAAGGACAGATATATCTCTCTATATATCTATATATATATAAATTGTTTATTTTAAAGATATATTTATTTGACTTTTTTATTTTTTGAAAAAGCCCTGACAGAAGCATGTTATACATTGTGCTTTCTGTCCTCTGCTAGTGCATTTTAGATAAAAACATGGGGAAATATTTATGACTGATAAAGCTGTTAGAGAATTCTCTTGGATTTTGTTTTCCAGAAAGAAAAAAAGAAAAGTGACTTTGGAATTTCTGAGACAGACACCAACCACACTGCTATTTGAAAGTGACATGCAATGAGATGTGATATTGATGGCATCAAAGTACTGTGTGCGTGTGTGTATGGGTATCCGTGCGTGTGTGTATGAACATGCATGGATGTGTGTTTGAATGTGTGTGTGTTGGATTACAATGGCCTCATTGGTCCTTATATCATCCCACACTATAATACCCACAATCCCCATCGCCTCTTTTCTTTCTGGAAGAAAAAACAATACTCGCTTATTTGTTGTCATTTTCCTGCAACCAAATCAACTACACTAGTTCGACAACACTAGTAATGAATTGAATAAAATGCGTGAAGATCTTTCATACCGAAGCTTGAGACTGATGAAATTAATGCCCCTGTGTAAGCCTTGACGTTTGTGTGGTTCACCCCCACTTAACTACATTACCCAGAATACCACTACCCCTTTAAAATAAATCATGTTGCTTACCGCTGCCTTTGTGATAACAGTATTAACTACTTTTCATTTAACTCAATGACATAATCCAAGCTCTGGCTCCTGATGTGATGACCTAGCTACCAACAGCTGTGTTTTGATATGATGGTCGGCCTGGACAGGCCCTTCCAATGTTCCAAAGACTTTCATCTGGATATCAACTACTGTGGAATTGGTGCATAGAGCATAGTCTGTTGTTTTCAACCTAGGCACAGCAGCGCATATACTAAACTGTGTTGCAAATACTGTAAGAAGTTGCTCCATTCAGACTTTTAGGATGAGTGCCATTTGGAGGGGCTTGGGGGTCATATGTCGCCCTCAGAGTTGGTGTGGGAGGAGCTTCACTTTAAGAGTATTTGGTTTCCTGTTTGAACCCTACTGTTAGGTCCTGGTTTTGTCATTTAAGGGAAACGAAACCAAACAAAGTTGAAGTAGGCCTATTTTTCATTCAGTGTATCTATCTATCAACATGCTTGACCTGAGGCAAAAAGCAGGGAATTTCAACGTTTTTACAGTCCAAGAAGTTGTCAAAATCCTTTTCCACCGCGAGTGGTAAATTTAGCTCCAAATTCAATGTTGCAATTATTTGTTTATTTTCATGACAGAGAATAATAGATGTTTTTGCAGTGTAGCTAAATTTGAACAGCTGTATTTTACTTTTGTGTGCGTTTTTGCTGCATTATGAGTGCCTGTAGCTATAGAATATTTTACTTCTTACTTATTTTTGCCATCTTGGAGTCAAATTTCCAGCTGAGCTGAGGGTCATGTTATCATTGTCCAGTGTATTTTTCCAGTGGTGAGTTGAGTCAGTTGAGTTGGATTGGTCAAGCTAGGAGCCAGATCCTTTCAACCGACGCACTGACACGCTCATATGTAAACGTGGTCCATGTATTATTCGCATCCAGAATAAAACAAACATTTTGTTTTCAAAGATGGCTGAATAGTGGATGGTCTGCGTTATCTTGAAGTGAGTCAAAGAAGTGTGCTCTCTCTAGCAAGAGGTTGACCGACCTTGTGTAATGTGTGCCTAATCCTCGTTTAATATTGTTCCATGTATATTTGTACCTATCCATTGATATTTATAGAGCTCTATAGGTTATTTTAACGGTGCATGTCTTTGTGAGGGTTCAAATCAAGAACAGGATTGACATAGATACAACAAATCTAATAACAAGGTCTGATAAGCCTAGTCAGAATGATGCTGGTGAATCCAGTGCATTGTAGAAAAAACCCAAATGCAACATCTATTAATTTCAATTTCATCATGTAAGATATATAATGAAATAATCTATTTTGCCAATCCCCTTCAATCCCACCTCCTCCTGCGCGTTCAAATGGGCAGGGCAATCGTTGATATACAGACACATTCTCCAATATGCTGCTCAGCATCCAGCAAGGAGGAAGGAGCAGAAAAAGCTGACTCAGTGTACAGTAAACGGCGTCACATGTGACATGGTCTGACTCTGTAGCTCTTCGTCTCATGACGAGGGTACAGAAATGCGCGTTACTCTATAGGACAGTCACACTGTCAGTATGGGGTGTTGGTCTAGAAGGTGTCCGACAAATTACTGCCTTCGATCTGCTCAGACATCACTGAAGACCAGTCCTCGTCGAGTAATATTCCCACACTGCTAGATCCAAACCTATGCAAGAACTCCCATGCTAACGAATCATCATCTAGGTATAGCATTTAGGACTAGCTACTGCAGCAGTTAAGAGGCTTTTAGTTAATCAGTATATCACACAAAACATTATCTAAAGGGCCAAGCATTGAATCATGGCCCATCCCTTCCTTTGTATGTGTTTATAAGATTATGCCTTTTTATTTCTTAAATAACTTCTAGCTAACAGCTCACTACATATACAGTACATGTGGTTCAGTGGCTGTTGGCATAGTTTAGGTTGGTCAATTTCAATATAAAATGTGAAAAAATGATTTCATATGTTGGCACTGCCAACTTGGCTGCACATGACATGGTTGGGATGGTTAAATGTGGGTGGTGTGTTTCTGTGGTGCTAAATCATTGATACTGTCATATCTGACAGCTGAAGCTTAGATATTATTTTAGATATTATTTTCTGCAACTTGTGTTTCAAGAAAATCACAGATATTTATATTTGCAATAGGAAACAGTAGCAAGAGTCATTTGCTAGACACCTCAACAAGGAAGTGTTTAATTGGTTAAATTCCAAGATTATTTTAAGCAGAAACTATGTGTTCAGTTTTAAATGTTTTTCTTTTAAGATAACATTTGCAACATTAATCTCAAAATGGAAAAACATGAACCGTACAAATGCACTTAGGGTGGTCATACTGAAACGCAAGGCGTTCCTGGTCTAAGAATTCGCCCATACTATTAGAGTCAGAGAGAACATTGGTTACCTTAACAAAATCAAATTTGTCCATCCACTTTACAATGAAATATGGTGACACTTAAGAAGAGGACATGCATAATACCTTCTTAATATTTAGTTAGAGGAAAGAATTACTTGGCACTTTGGAAACAAGATGACACTGTGTTTATCGTATTTGCTCTATTGACACAGTACATTTTGCTTCATCAACAACTTTGAGCTTCAAGGTTAACAAATGTCAATGTCGTTCTTATGAAGGGTAATGAATGCCAATGTTGTTCTTATCAAGGGTAATGCATGGACACCTTCACTTGAAGTGCCCTCACTGAGCAGTAGCAGGAAGTTTTTCCTAACAACTGATGCAGGGTCAAATATTTGTCTATCCCTAATGTCTAAGGTTAGGATAGGGGTATAGGGTAATCCGATCTTAGATCTGTGGTGAAGGGTAACTTCTACCTCAAGCTCCTGTTGAATACCCAATACCCGTCCTTCCTCGGCCCCTCCCTCTTGCTGAGCTTGGTGCAGCAGCAGTGAGGGTTGTCGCCCCTGGCAACCCCAGCCCCTCCCACTCTCTGCACTGCCTGCACCATGGTTACCTCATGACTCTGCAGCAGCGTCCCCTGTTGGTTCTTATCAATATTTACATTCCAGTTCTGACTTTCTCTCTCTCTACAGACCCCCAATGCCTTGTTGTCTGGCCCCCGGCCAGGCATATTTTTTGTAAATGCATATATAAATATCTACATATAAATGTCCTTGTGCAAAACAAAATGTCTGTCGCTCTCTCGTCCTCTAGTGTAGACTCCTAGATCCCCGTCCCTTCCCCAGTGACTCTGCGCTCATGGCAGTCAGTCAGTGGAGGGCCCAGGTAATAGAGTGGGTGCCCATACACTGCTGCTTTCTTATTGCTTTGTTAGTTGTGAAGGTCTGCTTTCTTACGAACTGAAAAGTGCTGTAGAGGAAAGTGTTTGAAAAGACAAATAAAAATGTGATGTGCTTCAAAGGTCTCTCCCGGTCTCTGTTTTGTTTTTGTGTTCCCTCCCTCCATCTTGGAAATTGTTTTCACCTCAGTCAGTACAGATTTGTGAAAGTGTGTGTGGGTGTACGTGAGTGTGTGTGTGGGTGTCTTTAGCATCGGTTCATAGACTAAAGTTGAAATCCCCCTTGAGGTTTGTATCGCTCTCGAAGGCCTGCATTGTGAAATCCTCACAGTCCTTTCCTATGAACAAAGGTCCTGTCCACTTATCCACCACAATGCAATGTTTTTACACTGCTAATCTAAGACCTGCTGCACCATTGTCACGGCCATTGTCATTGACACAGTGACCTGGCTACACAGTCACAGTTGGCAGAGGCGGGACTTTGTGTGCGCGTGTACACGGATGGCTCCTCTTTTGTCCGGCATTTTGTGATGGTCAGCAGCATTCCAGTGCAATTCCCCTGCCCTCAGCAACACACACATGGCGGCCGCTGGAAAAAACAAGGGAGCAGTCACGCCACCCAACGCTTTGTGTCCTGGACCCCCCCCCTTACCCTCTCACTCCCCTCTTCACCCTCTCCCCCACCACAACCGGTCAATATCTCTGGACTAGCAGCTTTGATGGACAGGGGGTTGGGGGGAGGATGGAGAGGGCCGAGTGACAGATACTGTGTGTGTGTGGGGGGGGGGGGGGGTCTGGTAACAGGGAGGGGTCTGGTCAGGGCCAAACCCCAGACCAAAACACCAGCGGAGCCCGGAGACCCAGCTGTTAGGCTTAACACAGTAGGGGATACGAGGGGGGCGCAGATCGAGACGGTGCTAGACCATCTGCTTGAGGCGAGCCCGGGGTGGAATGCAGAACACCTGCTGGAGAACCCAGACGTCTAGGAGGGAGAACGCAGACGTCTAGGAGGGCAGGTCTAGAACCGAGAGGTGAGTTAAGGAATGGGGGGGGGTCTTTGATTAAGCTACTGAGGTATAGAATGGAAGTTCTTATTGAACTCTCCATATGGACATACATCCGTGTTATCCAGTTGTTGTTTTTTTTACTACCAGCCTATAATGTAAGCAGAGACTGATGCTCCATGAAGGATTACTTCTGGGATTATGATACATTCATTTTTACTTTGAAAATGAGCATGGAGACTTGCCATTGAGATGTGTTCAAAGAATGCTTGCAATAATCATGACCAAAAAATATAAGAATACTATTATGGTTCGGCACCAGAGATATTCCTAGTGTACTCAAATATGGACATTTGTGGAAAGTGGACAGTCATTTTTAATTGCCAGATGAAAAAAACTTTAGGGCTAATCAACCAAAAAAGCAACTGGAAGGTTCACCAAAATGTTAGTTTAATCAATGTTTTATTGATGAGTCCTGTTCTGTCTTACCCCAAAACGTATACATCAAATACAATGTACTGTCTTTCCAGTTGTTGACCCCTCTCCCTCCCTATTTCTCCCTCCCTATTTCTCCCTCCCTCTTTCTCTCTTTCTCTCTTCCTCTCTCTCTTCTCAGAATGAGCACACCTGGCCTGAGTTGATCTTGATTGCCCCCTGCACCTAGCCTTGAATCCTGTCACACAGAGAGCTGCCGAACACATTCACCAACACGCTGTTACACAGACAGACATACATACACTCACACTGTAGGATGTTCAAGTACACTCCTCCTTGGCAGGTGCTGTGTAACAGCATGGAGCATGAGACCAAGGTAAGACAACCCTTACCACAAACACAAAATGGCAGGTGTAGTTGCAACAATTTAAAAGGGATCCTGATTGTAGGCTAGCAATTTGTTTTGCTTTGACATCATTCTCAGTGTTTCCCCCCTCATTTACCAACAATCAACATTCCACACAGTTGGATCTGCATTGTTAATGTTTGTACCACAACCATTGCAGCCTAGATTCTTCTTATGGTATCCATGATCTTGATTTCTGTTTAAACAATGGTGTTCATTGGTTTAAAAGTAATTTTGGACAAATGCATCACAATAGTACCCACTTTAATGTCTATGGCATGTTTAATCTGTAATGCGTTCTATTCCTAGATTTTAAAACCATAGTGGTGTAAAGTAGATATACCTGTGCAATCAAACATTCCTAAGCTAACTGAGATCCATATTATATGTTTTTCATGACCCTTTCAAGTCTTTATTCAGAGTGATAAAGTTGATTGAGATACTCTAATGATTGGTGTACATGCACAAGGTAGTCACTAGAAAGCAGTAAAGCTATGTTCAGTGTGAACCTTCCCATTTCTCAAAGCGAATGCCCTCTATCAGGGGTGTCATGCAACCCAAAAATCAAACAAACAACATTTGTGAGGATGGCTGGGGGGTGGAAAGTGGAGAACACCTGAAACAGCTTTTTCCCTGCAACTTAGAGCCATAATCATTATGCTTAATTAGATGTAAAAAAAATATGTATATTTTTCTCTGCATATTTTACATTTACATTTTAGTCATTTAGCAGACGGTCTTATCCAGAGCAACTTACAGTTAGTGAGTGCATGCATTTTTTTTCATACTGGCCCCCTTGTGGGAATCGAACCCACAACCCTGGCGTTGCAAACGCCATGCTCTACCAACTGAGCTACACAGGGCCACAATCTAAGTAATTCATATTTAGGCCATGATGACTCAAGCTCTTCCACTGGACTACCTGTAGCGGGGACATCATCCTCTCAGGTGAACTTCAACCCCAAAGGAAGATTATTCTTGAACAGTTCACAGGCAAGATATTGATGATGCCTCAGTACTTGTAAACAGTGTTCTTTTCTGTTCTTGTTTCCTTATGAGACCAATGATGGGTAAAGGGAATGGATATGTTTCCGTAAGTTTATCAACTCAGTGGTTATGAAGGAAAGGAGAAGGAAGCTTCTGCACTTGGACACAAAATTATTATCACCAGGAAATTAGCCTACTCTTTCCCTTAAGTCAGGGTTCTCCAACTCCAGTCCTCGAGAGTTACTGGGTGAGCAGGCTTTTGTTTCAGCCTAGCACTCACTGACCAGTTACAAATAATCAACTAATTGCGGTCTTCAGTTTGGACCACAGGTCATTTTAATCTGGGTCATCTTGTTTGATAGATTTGCATTGGCGATGTGAAAGGGTTTCTCTTCTCTCCCTATCTTGTTATAGCGGTCTGTCAGTCTCATGCACTTTTCCCTGTTCGGTCAGAGGGTGTGGCTTCAATAACTGACATGATATTGGCTGAACTTTGCCTGCGCTCTAGGGTGCTCAAAAGACAGACAGAGCGCGGGAGACAAGACAACAGAAAAACGTGTCTTGTTTGCGGTATACTAATTAAGGTAGGGTTCATTACTTCATTTTCCCAAATTATGAACTGTACTTTTGATCCAAATGCATTTCAACAGCATTATCGCTACTTATATTATCTATGAATTGTAAGCACTTTGGTTCAGTGGCAGTTGGGTGAGCAGGTGCATTAGTCTAGAAGAGACACTATGGTTGGATTTGCCATCTCGTCACACTGTCTACATTACTGAATAATGACCTCTACTTCTTTTCAATAGTTGATGTCAAATTAAACCCTTGTGCCTTGACTGAGGGAAGTAAGCCGAATGTAGGTCTATTTTTCTATACACCTTTTGTGTTTATCAAGTGGTGGCTGTTCTCCATGTTTCTCCAAATGCTACATCCTACCCTATTTGAAGAGTACCTTGCATACCCCCGGTCTCTGTAGCTACACAACTTATACCCATGGGAACACTCCAGTACATTGTTAAAATGTCCTCTTTTTTTAATTAGTAGAGCTTTAATGAGCAGTTGGCATACTTGTCTTTCCAAGACCATGAAAACTGGTTTGAAATCTGTATGGTCGACAGTCATAAGCTGTAGGGTATGACATGTATTTGGGCATTTATTTCAGACAGTCGATGAGTAAATGTATTGGCCTTGAATAAGTCTAAAGGTTATGATAGGGACGACTTATCTGTAGCGAAATCTTAATTTTGCCCTAATTTGTTGTATTATCTTGTGTGGTATATGCAACTTGCCTTTGGCCTTAGTTGATCCATGCCACAATAGGCACTTTGTTGACAGGGACTAATGTACGTTTTGTACATACATACACACACACACACACACACCAGTGTGAGGTAATACATTAGTGGGGGCAAGGAGACTTGTGTATCTCCTGTCCCCCACAGATCGCTCCTCTTCTCTCTCAGCCAATGAGCAAAGGGCAGAGGAGCCGATTCGAGGAAGTGGCGCTGAAAAGAGCTTATCAGGGGTACACAGTCCACTGTCACACATGGTCACGCGCGCATACTCACACTGCAGGCTGCCTTAAAACTCTTGGGATAGTATGTAATGCACTGACGAGCAGTTACATATCTTGGTTATCTTAGCAGTTACACATCTGCTCGCTGTACTTTTCAGACTGTATGCCGTACCCATAAAGTTACCTTTTAACTCAAAATGGCCGTATATTTTCTGAAGAGCGTTTTCTGGGGTCAGCCAAAAGTCTTGGCATCTCAGGGAAGGTTCGGACTTGGTTTACTCCTGAAAGGTCCATTCGTCTAGTGTTGTGCATCTGACATGATTAGTTAATAATTCTGTGTCAGCAGGGTTACAATGAGAATCGTGAAATGCAGGATTGTTCTGTCGATGTCAATTTTAAATGACAGAATGTTGAATGGAGTGGCAGCTTCCAGGGGCTATAGGTTTTACTCATTAGCCAACATGCTCGAATAGCAATGAGCATGTTATGCTATAGTATGTTGTCATCCCAAAAGTACTATAGAGATTCTATGTGATATTCCTAGTATTGCTAGTTGCCATTAAATATTTTCCTTTTAATCCTTTGTGTGGCATATTAAAATGATTGACAAGTCAACCCGCCATTGCACCCAGCCTCCAGTGTAGTTAGTAGTTCGTTTTACATCAGTTTATTGAAGAGGAACTTAACTGTTTTCATTGGCCAAGACTATCTAATATCCTGCTCTAGTGCCAGTACTCCCACCTCCAGATGAGTTGTGCGAGAAAGGAGTGAACACATTCCTCTCTCACTCCCTCATGGTTCTTCATATATCTTCTGATAACTAGGCACTTTGAAAAGGTATTGTAGCTGCACACTCTAGGTCAGGGTTCTCCAACCCTGTTCCTGGAGCGCTACCCTCCTGTAGGTTTTCCCTCCCACTCCAGTTGTAACTAACCTGATTCATTTTATCAACCAGCTAATTATTAGAATCTGATGCGCTAAACCTACAGGATGGTAACTCTCCAGGAACAGGGTTGGAGAACCCTGCTCTATGTATATCATGGCTGCAGGTTAAGATTAATCCATTGCTTGAATAAATTGATAACAGTTGATAATCAATAAGTACACTGAACAAAAATATAAACACAACATGTAAAGTGTTGGTACCATGTTTCATGAGCTGAAATAAAAGATCCCAGAAATTTTCCATACGCACATAAAGCTTATTTCTCTCAAATGTAGTGCACAAATGTGTTTACATCCCTGTTAGTGAGCATTTTTCATTTGCCAAGATAATCCATCCACCTGAAAAGTTTGGCATATCAAGAAGCAGATTAAATGGTATGATTATTACACAGGTGCACGTTGTGCTGGGGATAATAAAAGGCCACCCTAAAATGTGCAGTTTTGTCACACAACACAATGTCACAGATGAAAAGTGTTATGCTACTAATTTCATTTTGGTGCCACAAGCTGTATTCTGTAATGTCTGTGAAGTGGGAATAACAGCCATTGTCACTGTATGCAAAGATGTAGCTACTCCAAAAGTGTCTTCAATAAAATCTTGAATTGTAATTATGATAATTTGGACAGGAGGGCTTGTTTGATTGGTTATAACGACCCAGTTGCCACTTGACCATTAATCTTTCTTAATTATTATGTTGCTTAAGTGATGACCCATTGGCCTATTTTAAAAAAAAACAATTATTGGTTGCAGAGACTCTCAGTTGCTGCACCTGACGATTCCCAGGATGTGTTGACCCAGGAGGAGGGAGACCAGATAGTGTGCCAATCTCACCAGCTTCCTGCCTCAGAAATCTCACCGTCTACACAGGAAGACGCCACATTCCAAGGAACCATGGAAAGCACACCCAGAAAGTGGGTGCTTCAGCCCATGTCACCCAAACTGGAGCTGGCAGTAGACCTTCGCACCATGCTCAGCCCCACCACCGATGAGCCCTTTAGCCTGGACCGGAACTGGATCTACAACCGGAATGGCAACTCTTCGGCTTTCAGTTTTGACAGCATATCCGTGACCCGCACCCAGTCCACGGTCATCGTATCCTCCCAGCAGAAGGTGTCGTCCCGGGATGTGGTGGTGCAGTCCAGGCAGGTGGCGGTGTCAGAGGAAGATGGCGGCAACACCAGCGAAGACTGGCAACCCAGTAGCCCTAGCAGTCCTGGCAGCACGGGCTCCCAACGTGGCTTCTACTCCTTTGTGGATGATCCTGCGAGCCCAGAGGCGGAGATGAACGAAGCCTGGATGGTGTCCCCAGAGAGACAAGCCAAGTTGGCTACCCTGAAAGAGGAAAGCAGCTTCAAACTGCAGACATACGCTGGTGGGAAGAAGCCAGGGAGTCTGTTTGAGGAGGACGAGGACTCCCGCTACCAGGTGAACACCAACAATGGTGCCCAATTGAAGGCAGAGGAGGAGGAGAAGCAGCTTAGGCAGGAGATCATCCACGGTCAAGCCCCCAAAAAGACTGCCACATTCAGGGAGCAGTGGAGTGCACTGGAAACCCTGGATCTCAGCAAGTCACCCAACAAGTTGCTCGAAGGGTTCAGCTTGTGCTACGGGCCAAGCAGCACCAAATCTGAGCCCACACCAGCAGCCGAGCCAGGCACCATCGACAACGAGCAGATCAACTTCAGCGCAGCACGGGAGCAGTTCCTAAAGATGGAACAGTCGAGGCTCAACCCCTTCCTGCAGAGTCCCAGCTCTCTAAAACCACAAAGAAGACTGTGGCAGTCAGAAGACAGCTTGCTATCACCAAGGAGTGAGAAAAAAGATTACCACCCTGCGGAATGGTTTAACCAAAGTCTGACCCCAGTGAAACGTCAGGACAAAGGGAAAGTCGTCACTGGCAGAAAGGTGACATTGTATTGCACAGAGGAGAGGGTAACCAAGAGGCAGAGTAGCCTGTTTGATGAATTTGACTCTGGACTGGAGGATCTATCGGGGGACCCAAGTGTTGGCTACACAAGTGACGGAAGCATGTCCAATGACAACCCTCAGCCAGAAAGCAAGGGGACCCAATCGGCAAGTGGTTACAGAGAAACACCCATCGAGAGGGAGATTCGTATTGCTCAGGAGAGAGAAGAGAGTCTAAGGCGATTGCGGGGCATCAAGCACACCGACGTCCAGGAGATGGTGGAGATCAAGACCAAGTCTCTGCTCTCCCAGCCTACACCGCCATTGATGCCTGTCAAGGCAAAAGAGAAGAACCGGGTGAGCTTCTTCATCCAGCACGAGATCGAAAAGGACAGCCAGAGGGAAGAGGACCTGCTGCACCAGGGGAGAGTCCCAGGTCTGTATGACCGGAGAACTCCCCAGGAACTGGAGGATAGGAGGAAGATCTTTGAGCTGCGAGACCAATCTGGAGCCGAGGAGAAGAGGAAAAGGGCTTGGTCATCACCCGGGGTCATTGTGAGGAGTAGCAGCTCAGATACGGAAGGCTATCCTTCCCCTTGCTGCCCTCACCGGCACTCAAAAGAGACTGAGCTGTACATCAGCAGCATGAGCGCCTCTCCAAGCGTCAATACCACCAGCAAAGGCTGGGGTTCAGAGTCCCAAGACCTCACCAGAGTACTGCCAAGTATCTTCCCAGAGGACAGCGTCATGTTGAAAGGCCATGAGACCACAAAGGCGGCAAGCTCTGAAGTCACAGTGGTGGTGAAGACAATAAATACTAGCGAAATAGTAGATTACCCATCGTGGATAGTGGAAAGAAAGAAGCCAGTTCCAGCCAGTGGCTCCTCGGCTAAAGAAGCCTCCTCTTCACCCTCTTCATCCTCTCCCTCCTCCCCTACACCCACTGCTTTTGCAGTGCAGGGGTCTGAACCTAGTGATAAGCCTATTCCAACCTGGAGGGCGCACCTGGATTCTGGCGGCCTGCGACATCGAAGACCCAACACTCCTGATATTATCCAGAAGGAAATTGAGCAGGATCTGAAACGTGAGCAGGAGCTCCGGGAACTGCGAGAATCCAGTGGCCTGTCCGCCTCTATGGAAGGAAACTTGGACTGTGTAGAACGAGACGCTAAAGACTCATATCAATCGCAAAGCCTGCAAAGGGTAATCGTGAAACAGGAAGAGTCTGTCTTCTCTGAGAGCCCTTCACTTCCAGTAGAGCAGACGAGCTTGGCCAGACGGTCCTACTCCTCTATCACTCCAGTATCAATGCTAGGTAGGATGGTTCAGTCAATTTAATCATACACAAATCTATACAATTACAAGACTATGTAACTGAGGAATTATTCATGATGGCAATATCATATTCTTGTTTTTGGCTTGATTTAAGCAAATGTCTACATGCACCAAATGTCTTCACAATTCTAGCTTTAATGGATGTTGCATAACATTATTGTTTACTGTTGGCTTTCCTAGACTGGAAGAAATGACAAACTTAATTAGAACCTGAACTTTGGTCATATATGGGCAGAGGAACCAATGCGGTGTTACCAGCCATGATTAATCATTGACACAAAGGATATTATTTTGCATCCAAAAGGCTGAAATAAGACAAAAACATTGCTGCTTTTACTTGGAGTTGATGCACTGAAATGTAGTGGTTCAAGGCCCAGTGCGGTCAAAAACGTGATTTTCCTGTGTTTTATACATATTTACACACAGAGGTTGGAATGATACTGTGAAAATGATGATAATGCCCTTTTAGTGTAAGAGCTGTTTGAAAAGACTACCTGAAATGTCTGCCTGTTTTGGTGGGACTGAGTTTTGGCCTGCCTGGTGACATCACTAGGCGGAAAATTAGTTAATAGAGCAATAAGAAAGAGTTCCAAACCCCTCTGCCAGTAAGAGCTAGTTTCAGTTTTCCCCTCCCCACTCAGACCACTCCCACAGCCCTAGCAAAACTCTTGCCTGAGAAATTGTTCTTAGCTAAGAAGCTTTCTGTTTCTTTTTGACAATTTTCATTGAAAACAATCACAGTAAGGTACTTAATTATTACCCAGAAATGATTTGATATTGAGATAAAAACGTCTGAACCTTTTTAAGATCACTCTACAGCCAGTCACATTAAAGGCCTAATTCAGCTGTTTTTATGTCAATATCAAACAGTACCTTACTGTAATAGTTTCCCATAAATATTGTCAAAAATAAACAAAAATAGCGTTTTAGCAAAACTTTCTCAAGCAAGAATTTAGCTAGGACTGCTTGGGAGTGGTCGAGTGGGGAGGGGAAAACTGAAAACTAGCTCTTATTGGCAGAGATGTTTGGAACTCTCTTTGTTATTGGTCTATTAGCCTAAACTCCACCCATGCAAAACCTGCTGATTTAGAAGGTCATGTGTAGATTGTATTTTCAAATGGCAACTATGAGGAAATAACACTGATCAACTTTTACACTTTCATATGCAAAAGTCTGTGGACACCCCTTCAAATTAGTAGATTTGGCTATTTCAGCCACACCCATTGCTGACGGGTGTATAAAACTGAGCACACAGCCATAGACAAACAGAGACAAACATTGGCAGTAGAATGGCCTTACTGTGAAGAGCTCAGTGACTTTCAACGTGGTACCGTCATAGGATGCCACCTTTCCAACAAGACAGTTCGTCAAATTTCTGTAAGTGCTGTTATTGTGGAGTGGAAACGTCTAGGAGCAACAACGGCTCAGCCACGAAGTGGTAGGCCACACAAGCTCACAGAACAGGACCGCCAAGTGCTGAAGCAAGTACAAATTGCCTGTCCTGTGTTGCAGTACTCACTACAGAGTTCCAAACTGCCTCTAGAAGTAACGTCAGCACAAGAACTGTTCGTCGGGAGCTTCATGAAATGGGTTTCCATGGCCAAGCAGCCGCACACAAGTCTAAGATCACCATGAGCAGTGCCAAGCATCGACTGGAGTGGTGTAAAGTTTGCCGCCATTGGAGCAGTGGAAACGCCTTCTCTGGAGTGATGAATCACGCTTCACCATCTGGTAGTCCGAGGACGAATCTGAGAATGGCGGATAACAGGAGAATGCTACCTGTCCGAATGCATAGTACCAACTGTAGAGTTTGGTGGAGGAGGAATAATGGTCTGTGGCTGTTTTTCATGGTTCAGGCTAGGCCCCTTAGTTCCAGTGACAGGAAATCTTAACGCGACAGCATACAATGACATTCTAGACGATTCTGTGCTTCCAACTTTGTGCCAACAGTTTGGGGAAGGCCCTTTACTGTTTCAGCATGACAATGCCCCTGTGCACAAAGCGAGGTCTGTACAGAAATGGTTTGTCAAGATCGTTGTGGACCCTGACCTTAATGCAATCGAACACCTTTGGGATGAATTGGAACGGCGACTGCAAGCCAGGTCTAATTGCCCAACATCAGTGCCCGACCTCACTAATGCTTTTGTGGCTGAATAGAAGCAAGTCCCCGCAGCAATGTTCCAACATCTAGTGGAAAGCCTTCCCAGAAGAGTGGAGACTGTTATAGCAGCAAATGGGGGACCAACTCCATATTAATGCCCATGATTTTGGAATGAGATGTTCGACGAGCAGGTGTCCACATACTTTTGGTCATGTAGTGTAGTTTCATCAGCTGTTGTACAATATGATACAAAACACAGGAAAAACAGAATTTTGACAGCACTGGGCCTTTTAAAACTAGTGTTAAGGCAAGATAATCTAAAATGTCTACCAGTGTCCATTTTCATGGTCAAGTGTGTACAATGGTATGACTATACTTTAGGCTATCATTATGTACAGTGCTTTCAGAAAGTATTCATACCCCTTGACTTATTCCACATGTTGTTTGTTAGAGCCTGAATTCAAAATAGATTACATTTATTTATTTTCTCACCCATCTACATATAATACCCCATAATGTCAAAGTGAAAACAAGTTTTTAGATTTTTTTGCAAATATATGAAATACAGAAATCTCATTTACATAAGTATTCACACCCCTGAGTCAATACTTTGTAGAAGCACCTTTGGCACCGATTTACAGCTGCGAGTCTTTCTGGGTAAGTCTCTAAGATCTTTCCATAACTGGATTGCGCAACATTTGCCCATTTTTTAAAAATTATTTTCAGAATTCTTCAAGCTCTGTCAAATTGGTTGTTGATCATTGCTAGACCACCATTTTCAGGTCTTGCCATAGATTTTCAAGTAGATCTAAGTCAAAACTGTAACTCGGCCACTCTGGAAAATACACTGTATTCTTGGTAAGCAACTCCAGTGTAGGTTTGGCCTTGTGTTTTATGGTATTGTCCTGCTGAAAGGTGAATTAATCTCCCAGTGTCTGGCGGAAAGAAGACTGAACCAGGTTTTCCTTTTAGGATTTTTCTTGTGCTTAGTTCCATTCCTTTTTTTATCCTGAAAACTCCCCAGTCCTTAATGATTACAAGCATACCCATAACATGATGCAGCCACCACTATGCTTGAAAGTATGGCACATGGGACTCAGTAATGTGTTTTAAATTTTTTCATTTTAGTAATTTTAGCAGACGCTCTTATCCAGAGTGACTTACAGTTAGTGAGTGCATACTTACATGTACTACTTTAGTGACTTGTTGCAAACAGGATGCATGTTTTTGAATATTTGTATTCTGTACAGGCTTCCTTGATCCATCCTCCGTTTTCTCCTTTCACAACCCTTAAAGTCTAACTGTTTTAAAGTCACCATTGGCCTCTTGGTGAAATCCCTGCTTTTTTATTTTATTTTTTACCCATCTACCAATAGGTGCCCTTCTTTGCGAGTCATTGGAAAACGTCTCTGGTCTTTGTAGTTGACTCTGTTTGAAATTCACTGCTTGACTGAGGGACCTTACAGATAATTGTATGTGTGGGGTACAGAGATGAGGTAGTCATAAACAAATTATATTAACCACTATTCTTGCATACAGTGAGTCCTTTCAACTTATTATGTGACTTGTTAATCACATTTTTACTCCTGAACTTATTTGGGTTTGCCATAACAAAGGGGTTGAATACTTATTGACACGACATTTCAGCTTTTCATTTTTTGAGTTGTATGAATATTTTTGGCCCCTTATTTCCCTAAGATTTTTTTAACAATTCCGTATAGCTTAGTAGAACCCCTTAGACAGGGCTTAGACTCTTATGGGTGAAATATGGTTACGCACATGTATTGCTCTAATAACTTTCCACATACTATGAACACCGCCTTAATCATTCTCCTAGTCAAAAAAGAAAAGGACTCGAGACTACAGTAACTACTGTCCGATTTCTTTGATTTAATATGGATTTAAAAATAATTAGCAAAGCGATAGCCAACAGATTAGAAACCGTTCTTCCCAAAATAATACTTTCTGATCAAACAGGTTTTATGAAAGGCTGACACTCTTCAGAAAACAACAGGAGCCTCTTTAACATCATGCAACTCGCTTCCCAAACTGATATTCCTACCGCAGTAGTGACGTTGGATGCAGAGATGCCATTTGACAGTCAATATGACCTTCCTGAACTTGGCACTCGAGGAATTCGATTTTAGTGTGTGTATGTGTATATATATGTGTGTATATATATATATATATTACACAGTGAGGGTAAAAAAGTATTTGATCCCCTGCTGATTTTGTACGTTTGCCCACTGACAAAGACATGATCAGTCTATAATTTTAATGGTAGGTTTATTTGAACAGTGAGAGACAGAATAACAACAAAAAAATCCAGAAAAACGCATGTCAAAAATGTTATAAATTGATTTTGCATTTTAATGAGGGAAATAAGTATTTGACCCCTCTGCAAAACATTACTTAGTACTTGGTGGCAAAACCCTTGTTAGCAATCACAGAGGTCAGACGTTTCTTGTAGTTGGCCACCAGGTTTGCACACATCTCAGGAGGGATTTTGTCCCACTCCTCTTTGCAGATCTTCTCCAGACCTTAATCCACAGATTTTCTATGGGATTAAGGTCTGGAGACTGGCTAGGCCACTCCAGAACCTTAATGTGCTTCTTCTTGAGCCACTCCTTTGTTGCCTTGGCAGTGTGTTTTGGGTCATTGTCATGCTGGAATACCCATCCACGACCCATTTTCAATGCCCTGGCTGAGGGAAGGAGGTTCTCACCCAAGATTTGACGGTACATGGCCCCTTGGTATTCTTGGGGTCATAGGCAGCATTCCTCTTCACGGCGAGTTGAGTTGATGCCAAAGAGCTCGATTTTGGTCTCATCTGACCACAACACTTTCACCCAGTTCTCCTCTGAATCATTCAGATGTTCATTGGCAAACTTCAGACGGGCCTGTATATGTGCTTTCTTGAGCAGGGGGACCTTGCGGGCGCTGCAGGATTTCAGTCCTTCACGGCGTAGTATGTTACCAATTGTTTTCTTGGTGACTATGGTCCCAGCTGCCTTTAGATCATTGACAAGATCCTCCCGTGTAGTTCTGGGCTGATTCCTCACCGTTCTCATGATCATTGCAACTCCACGAGGTGAGATCTTGCATGGAGCCCCAGGCTGAGGGAGATTGACAGTTCTTTTGTGTTTCTTCCATTTGCGAATAATCGCGCCAACTGTTGTCACCTTCTCACCAAGCTGCTTGGCGATGGTCTTATAGCCCATTCCAGCCTTGTGTAGGTCTACAATCTTGGGACTGACATCCTTGGAGAGCTCTTTGGTCTTAGCCATGGTGGAGAGTTTGGAATCTGATTGATTGCTTCTGTGGACAGGTGTCTTTTATACAGGTAACAAGCTGAGATTAGGAGCACTCCCTTTAAGAGTGTGCTCCTAATAATCTCAGCTCGTTACCTGTATAAAAGACACCTGGGAGCCAGAAATCTTTCTGATTGAGAGGGGGTCAAATAGTTATTTCCCACATTAAAATGCAAATCAATTTATAACATTTTTGACATGCGTTTTTCTGGACTTTTTTGTTGTTATTCTGTCTCTCACTGTTCAAATAAACCTACCATTAAAATTAGACTGATCATTTCTTTGTCAGTGGACAAACGTACAAAATCAGCAGGGGATCAAATACTATTTTCCCTCACTGTATGTATGTATGTATGTATGTATGTATGTATGTATGTATGTGTGTGTATATATATATATATTACACACACAGAAATGGTTTAAACTTTTCTCTAGCTCCCCACAAGCCTCGGTAATTACTAATAATATAATCTCAAGGCCTTTCAAACTACCCTTGGCTGCTGCGGTTCGCCAAAACAGTTCAATTATAGGCATCCGATCCCCAAACATAACTCCCAAAAAAGTATTTACGCTGATATTCTGATGTTCGTACAAGAACCCAATCGATCATTAGAAAACGTGCTCTCGACAATCAACATATTCGGCAGTATATCGGGATATAAGATTAACTGGCACAAATCAGAGAACCTCCTCCATAAATCAATTTAACTGGGACTAGCCAAAACTCTCCCCTGCAGATGGTAATTTCTTGGAGTGCAAGTACCGCATAGGCTAGATAAATTATATATATTTGACATGATGAATTTGCACCATATTCAAAATAACAATTCCACTTTGACGTAATGGGGTATTTTGTGTTTGTGTAGGCCAGTGACACACAAACTCAATGTAATCAATTTTACATTCCGGCTGTATCACGTGGAAAAAGTCAAGGGGTGTGAATACTTTCGGAAGGCACTGTAGTTTCATGTTGCATTCAATCTACATTTCAAATGTACTCTTTACAAGCATGTATGTGTTAACTCAATGTTTATTTCTCTATTCCCCTCCCGATAAAGCGGACAGCGCATCGCCCTTTCCCGCCTCCATTCGTCCCACTGCTCGTCTTCCCTCCTTTTCCATAGTGACTGCCCAGCCATGGGGCTCCCAATGGCCCACCTCCACTGTGGTGAGCAGGGTTGCCCCTCTGTTGCCTGCTAGCCCATGGGCAGAGATGGGTGGCTCCCCTGGGACTCCCACGCAAAAGGGCTTTACCGAAACCCTACTAGAGGACTTTGAAGAGAGGAGAGTCAAACTGAAGCTGGAAGAGAATGCTGTGAGGAAATACTGTATTGGACACAGAGGGAGTTATTGATGTTGTCTACATACATTGAAAATCCATTATAGACACACATAAGACAACTTTTAGGCATAGTTTGGAAAGAAATACAGCAATACAATATGCCTACAAAAGAGTACTAATAGTGTTGGAGAAACCATATACATCTTGTGAGATTTCTCAATTCATAGGTTTTATATCCTACAATGATAGTGTGCTAGTTGCTAAATTGGACATTTTCTTTTCTGTTACCTCTAGTATGCAGGAATTCAGCCTACTGACGATGTGAACAATGAGGTAATTGGTTGCTTTTCTCTCTGTTGATATGCATTGAATCACTTGTCATTTGTCTCCGAGAAGGCCTTTATCACAGGTCCAATATGATGTTGCTGCTATTTCATCCATTGCAGGTCTTGGAGGCGACCCGTGTCACCAGGCACAAAAACAAGCGGGCACTGCGCTGGGAGGCTGGCGACTACACCAATGAGGACGGCCAATGAGTCTACCAGCCCTCTCCACTGGAGGGCATGGTGAGAGAGGGCAGAAAGGAGAAGAGATGAACAACAGGCATTTTAGGGAAGTTGTCCCATCTCAGCACATATTAATATACTCTGTCTACACACTAACTGGCTGAACTAATGATTGGTGCACTCTGTGATAACCCCCCGTCCATCAACATCTGGCAACTGAGCCTTGCCCCGACTAGAGCAGGTACCCTTTCACGATTTATAAGCGAGAGACAAGTGAACTGAAAAAAAGATTTAATAAAGATGGGACAGGTTTTAGCTGAGGCAGAAAATGGTCCAAATGCCATCATAGGTGGATTGTAAACGGAATGGAATTTAAGAGGAGTTCTGCGCCTGCTTAGAATGCATTGCCTTGTTTTGGGATGAAACGGTGTATGACTTCTTTTTAAGTCTGGCAATCACTGCTAGGTAGCTTTGATCAGGCCCATCTGCCCTCAAAAGTATAGAAAATGAGTGAGGGAGCTATTTTTGTCTTGTCAGTTGTGCTTTGCAAAGCAAAAACAAACAAGAAACCAATCGGATATCCATTATGTATTTAATAAAGTTAACATTTCTAAAACAATATCCAGTCCAATGAAGCACTTGCAGTACCGTCTTCAAGAAATGTTGACTTTTGTCTAATTTAATATGAAATAATATCTAATAAAGAGTTAGCTACAGCTGATACCAGTATGTTTGTTTTTAATTTGACAAGAATGTGCTTTGAGAGCAGAAATTTGTGTAAGACTTGTTACATAAACCTGCCAGGTCCTTATGTAATTATTTCCTTTCTTGGGTAATGTGCTATATGAATGTAGCCTAGCAGTTAAAAGCCTTGGGCCAGTAACCGAAAGGTCGCTGGTTTGAATCTTCGAGCAGTCTAGGTGAGAGAATCTGGCGATGTGCCCTTCAGCAAGACACTGAACCCTAATTGCACCTGTAAGTTGCTCTGGATAAGAGGGTCTGTTAAATTACTAAAATGTAATGTAAGTTCAATGACAAACAAGTTTAATCACTCTCAACCTGACTGTTGCAACATGACAATATCTGGTTTTGATGGAGAGACTATGGTAAGACATACTGCTGAGAATAGCCCAGGGAATGTAGATGTGATAAGCGATTCAACTCTGCTACATTTGGTGGCAGCGGTGGGATCCACTGCCTAAACGAGCAGCGATTTCAAATCGGATGCATTGTAGATGAAGTTGATCAAATAGAGAATCTCCAAACTGATTCAAATGGAGTAAGACATTGCCATCTGCTGGGCAGTCACGAACTGATTGTAGGGGATTTGAGAGTTTAACTAATGTTGAAACTACAAAAGTATGGCCAGAAGTATGTTGACACCCCTTCAAATTTGTGGGTTCAGCTATTTCAGCCACACCCATTGCTGCCATATATGTTCAAGCAGATTTAAGTCAAAACTGTAATTTGGCCAATCAGGAGCATTCACTCTCTTGGTAAGTAACACCCTTGTAGATTTGGCATTGTGTTTTAAGGTATTGTCCTGCTGAAAGGTGAATTCATCTCCCAGTGTCTGGTGGAAAGCAGACTGAACCAGGTTTTTGCCTGTGCTTAGCTCCATTCCTAGTCCTTAACAATTACAAGCATACCCATAACATGCTTGAAAATATGCAGTGGTACTCTGTAATGTGTTGTATTGGATTTGCCCCAGACATAACACTGTATTCAGGACAAAAAGGTAATTGCTTTGCCACATGTTTTGCAGTATTACTTTAGTGACTTGTTGCAAACAGGATGCATGTTTTGGAATATTTTTATTCTGTACAGGCTTCTGTTCACTCTGTCAACTACGTTAGTATTGTTTAATCAATTTTAAATTCATGCTGTAACACAATGTGGAAAAAGTCAAGGGGTGTGAATACTTTCTGAAGGCACGGTATACTACAGTATGCTTAAGTTTGAACAGGTCAGACTACCTAATTTTGGTCTCCCCATTGCCGACCGTTGGTGAGCAGGCAAAAGGTGAGGCTGGAGGTAAGCCTTTGCCAGCGCCCCATTGATGAGCATGGCAGGGTAGATCAGCTCATGCTCACAGCAAGGGCATATCTGTGTAACGCTGAGGGTCCCCTTGCTGGTCTTCTATGTTGCATGTTCGGCTGCAAACTGGACATCTCTCAAACAACTGCAGCAGGCAATCCTCCTAAACTATGCATTAAGTTTGGGAAACCCTGAGCTAGCCTTTAGCTCGCTAGCCTGCCTTGCTAGATGATCAAATTACATTACATAACCAGCTACATGTATGAACAGCTAGCTAAGTGAATCAAATATAATAAGCTAACTTATTAGCTAGCTATCTTGATTTGTATCATTGTAAATTAAAAACACAAGCTACAAATGTATTTGTAGATAACAGCCATGGAAGGGGGTGAAAGGACTGCAGCTCCAGCTGTCAGGAAAGCGAGTAGGGCTGGATAGGGCAGGTTATTTTGTGGGAGGACATTATGAAAATATTCTCCAGTTCCAGACCCTAGTAAGGACAACTATTAGGACAGAGATAATAGCAACATAATAGCAACATAATTTTCAGTGCTGTCTAATTCTGTGATGTTTTCTGTCAGATACGGAGAGCTGTGAAAGCCTGTCCGCAGAGGAAGAGGTCCCAATGAATGTCCCAAGAGACTAAGGGTATATCCTTGTATACCACAGGTTATATGTGTACCTATTAGCAAATGTTGTATACAGTTATTAAACATTGCACAATGTATAACCCTATTACAACTGGAGCAGGGCAACCCTGCTTCTGGAGGTCTGCTGGCTTCTGTTCCAGTCCAGCATTAACACCTGATTCAATCGATAATAAAGTGTTCTATTGCTGGGTTGGAATAGAAGTCTGATCACCCAGTAGATCAGGGATCAGTGAAGCAAGGTTAGCCAATGCTGGTATGGACTTTTCTGCTTCACCTGAAATTATGCTTTACTAATACATAAGTTGCTTTGGATAAAAGTGTCTGCTAAATGGCATATATTGTTATATTATACAATGCTTTCAGAAAGTATTCACACCCCTTGACCTTTTAGTGGGATTTTAATGGATTTAATTGTAATGTTTTGTCAATGAGCTACACAAAATACTATGTAATGTTAAAGTGGTAAATAAAACACTAATATATCTTGGTCATCAAAAAGAAAGGAGGACCAAGGCATTCTTCATTTAATTAATTAAAATGCCTTTATTTGTATGGCATGTTCAATAGAAACAAGATTTTTTTTTTAATCCGACGCGTTTCGGCTGCATGGCCTTCGTCAGGGAGTACAAAGAAATAATACAATGTCCTCTTTTGAACAGCTTTTCCAATTAGCCCTAATTTGAAGAGGGAGTGGTTACAAAGTTGATTGGACACACCTAGTAAGCAATCCTATACACATTAACAAGTGAAATACTGTAACTATGTTATCATACAAATACAACTCCAAGTTAGAAGTATCAGAACACTTAGAAAGGTAGTTCTAACCTTAAATATGACTAGGAAAAGTGTCAAAAATAAGAAAGCAATATATTCCATAGTACACTAGAAAACAGCAAAACATGAACAACAACAGTCTAAACATAGCTGAGGGCAAATGAGCACAATGTCCACTAGATGACAGCAAATGGACCTATCACAACCCTACAGAAAGGGTGAGAAATCCATATCTTCATTTAAACCAGGGTATTTAGTGGCCTGTAGTTTGTAAAACCAAAAACTTTCCCTTTGGTTTAACTGTTTCAGACGGTCCCCTTTTCTAATAGAGGCCGGAATATGATCAATACCCATAGCTTGTAGGGAGGCAGGGTTACCATGGTGTAAGGACTTGTAGTGCCTTGCCATGGGGTAGTCTTCATTGCCTACCCGTATGGCGTATTTGTGTTCCGCTAAGCGGTCTTGAAGGCATCTCTTTGTCCGTCCAATGTAGAACACCTTGCACTGTGGAAATTGTGAGAGCAATAATTTAATCATTTTTCAATTTTATTGCATGAATTCACAATGGAAATACAACATATCTTGACATGCTATATAATTTGAACACGTCAGTGCATTTGTTACGATAATCCATATAAAGTAAAGTACAGTAATTTGTTAATGCTGTAGGTGTAAGTGGAGGGTCGGATTTACGTACAGAATAATACGAAATGCTCTGAGACCAGGTTGGCATTTTACACCTGGATTTGTTAGCAGTCAATATCAACTAGGGATATCATGTCATATTGTCACTTCTCTGGAATCCAGCGCAAGTAGGATCATACGGCCTACCTTTAGGCCTATTGCAGGAGGTTGCAGGATCAGACCGAAAGCACGATCTGTCTTTATTATTTTTCTTCCTCACAAATATTGTAATCAATTCACCAGAATGTTACATTTTCCTCCCATAAGTATTGAAGGTAGTGCGATGTTACAGCGATCTTTAGACATATGCAGTACCACCACTGAGGTTTATAACCCACCCAAACAATGCCTATCTGAAATGTGAAAATGATCAATGAAATCACCAGGTAGCCTATTGTCATGTAGTCATTTAGCAAACGCTCTTACCCAGAGGCAAAGATTCGTCCGTAGCAGTTCGCTAAATGGCACTTTATATGAATAATATTAAAGTAGGTTGGCTACTATGTTTTTGCCAGGCAAAAACAGAGAAAATTCAACATGCGCTATCTGGCCACTAATCTAGGTATGTGCACCCACCTTCGCGTTCCAATGCTGATGACTGGACATTGGTCAAGACTCACAACTTTTTGGTTCTGAAGCACAGATATAATAAATGATAGTGACCAGAACAAATAAGCAAAGGTATAAATATAAAAAATAAATGGTAGGATATTAAAATATGTATGACTTTTTTATCTTCCCATTCAGTTTCACACTTGCAACCCCCCCCAAAACCTTCTCACTGCTAGCGCACCTGACCTGTGTTGATTGACAGTTTGCTGGTCCAATCAGAGGGCAGAGTGTGTTTCACTATAGTGTTTTTTTTTCTGTCTCTGGCTTCATGGA